TACTGATTACAATAAAGATATGTAACTTTACACATTAAACAAATATAAACATTGTTTCAGTAATCGAAAAGTGAAATTTTCAATTAACAATAACGCTTAGGTCACTATTTGTCATTTATTACAGCAAAATAACTTAAATTTTAAAATTTTTGGGTGTTCAAATCCTTATATAAACTTGAACAAATTAATATTTTAAGTTAAATATTTCTTTTTTTTTTACTTTTAACATTTAAAATTGTTTTTAATAACCTCTGAAAAGCAAAACAAAAAACAGGGTGTTCCATTTAATTTTTTAGGTCATTCAACTTATACAATCAAACCTCTTATTTTTTTTTGTTTTCTTAATTGCAATGCGCTAAAAGACTATTACAGATTTAAGTTTGAACTTTCTTCTTTAAAGTGGTGAAAATCTTATTCTTCAAGTATTCTTAGTTTTTGTCTAATACATTTTTAAAAGGACTCTGTTTTTGTCAAAAAAATTAATTAAACACTTCAAAAAATTAGCAAAATCGACGCATAAATGTATAGCTCTAAATAATAATCAGTATTAAGATATAGGGTGTTTTATTTAAATTTGCGTATTGTAACTCATTTCTGAAACACCCTGTAAACTTGAAAAGAATTGTAACTGATGCGGAGGGTTGATATTTATTACTCCTAATTGTGTATAGATATAAATTTTTAAATGTTTTAATTTAAAGGTCAATAATAGACCAACTTTCTGGAATTCCCTGTATACTAAACAAATGTGCTAAATATACCAGGTGTATCAAATTTTACCCGCAACCTCTAAAACACTCCTCCAAATTAAATTACAGGAGTAATTTAAAAAAAATCATAGATGATTGTTTTCTTTTTTTCTCAAAATTGTGTTTAATTTTCCTTAATTTTTCTTCAACAATATTTGCCAATAATTAGATTTTCATATAATAATGCATCCAAATAACGCTTTTTTAAATTAAAAATTTTTTTTTTTAGAAATCAATTACAAAAGTTTCCTAGAACACTGTACAAAGCGCAAAAAAATCAAATTTTTAAATTCTAGACTGTTCTAATGACAGTTTTTGTTATGTACAAAATATACAAAAATAAATCAATTTCCCACCCACCCCCATTATGGGTGTTTGTAGCGTGAATATTGGGCCATTCCCCCAACTAATACACCGCCATTTCAATAAAACTCCGTTACCCCGCCGCCATTTTGATTTTATGACCTCATAAAATTTTAACAGCACCACAGGTGAGTCGTTTATGTATGAAAGTCGGGCCACCGATTGGGCGCCAATTACAATTTGGTTTTGATTCGGAATTTTCGAAATGATAATTGAGTTTGTAGTGGTGGTATTTTTGTCCCATTTCTATACCGATCGCTTCAATATACCGCCATATAGTGTTTTATGGTCCCTTAAAGAAAGATCCCCTTCATTTCCAAGTCAAACGAAACACATTCTCGCAAATATATAAACATTAGATTTTGTTACAGCCGCTTCGTCGGACGAAACCGCCGACGTGCCTTCAGGAGGAGACGTTTGGGTTCTGGTTATAAAAAATGCTAAACCATCCGATTCGGGAGTTTATGTGTGTGAAGTGAATAGTAATCCCATCGTTAGAAGTTTTCATAAATTAAGTGGTTGGTTGTGGTTTGAATTCTTGTGCAATTTAACAGTTTTGGTGTTTTTCTAGTACTGTCGAAAGCCCTTTTACCGCCGAGTAACACAACGGATGCGACGCAATATGAAGATCAGAAACAACAGTTCAGTAGCAAAGCTCACAATTACACCGACTGTTGTATTGCGAAAAATGTCTCGTCCAACTGTCTAGGGTTTTGCAACATTCAAAGCATTTTGGAAGGTAATACACCTCAATGTAAAAGTAAACCGATATCTTCAAGAAATAACATAAAAAATGCAAAAAATAAAAATAAGAAAGAAATAGTATATTACAACCAATCTCGGAAATGTCAAATATACAAACTCTGGTCCGGTTAAACCCCACATTAGAAGTATCGAGAGTTCTAATAATAATATTTATTTAAAATTTTGTTTATAGCCATAATGGGTCCTGCTCAATGAAGATATTTAACTTTGTTAAATTAAATACAATGCTATGTTTTTTATTGTGTTTTTTGGATTACTCAGGTGATTTTAAGAGAGTTTTTATAAGCCTTCCCTATAACAAAGTTTAATCGTTTTCGAGATATTTAAACTTTTTTTTTGAAATATCTTGGATTTGCACTTTTCTATTCAAAAATCGTATTTGGGCATATGAAAGAGAAAGGTTAGATCTTACTTTTTTGTATTCATAATTACAAAAATAATTAACAAATCTCCAAAATTAATTCTCCTAACTCAATTTTTTATTTAAATAAAACACCCTAATTTTTTCTTCACTAAATGGAGAACTTAATTCTGCTTCAATCTGTATTAACATTCCCTATACCTATGTTTGATATTTTTCAAGGTATAGTAACTTCTTTTGATATTGCGAGAAATTTGTTAGCCATAGAAATAATAGTATATTACATAACGAGCGCGGAAAGTGACAAATAACGCACAAGTGGGAAGCCCCACACTTTCTAGCGAGTTATGTACACTATTTTTTCCACGACAAAAAAAACACCATTATTTTCAGTGAAACGATTTAATGTTTCTCCTAAAGATCTAAGATCGACAGTTATTAAATTAGACGTCTATTAATATTAAATACTTATTTAATTAAGCTGATTTAGATTTAAATAATTGGTGGTTTTATTTACAAAATTTTGCGTCAATTTTGAAGGATGAAGAAAATAAAAGTCAAAAGTAAATCACGCACAATTTGCAAGACGCGCCTAGGGCTTTCCACCAATCGCACAACCTCTTATGTTATTTTTATAACACACATGTGTGGTTATGAGAATAATTGATTCGTTCGGTTTGGTCAACTTTTGTAGGTAATTCGCTGTATGGAAACAGTTACTCGTACTTTTGTCTAAGGTCGTGGGAAAAAATAAAAAATAACACAATTGTAAAAAAAAACTTGGCGTTTTGTCAGTGAGAAATATTTCCATTGCAAACATACGAAAACTACTATGGATAGTAATGAATTTCTTATATTAAAAAAAAAAAAAATCAAGATAACTGGAAATTATTAATCTTACAGGTATATGAGATCGATGCATAATTAAATTTTCTTTAATTTAGTTAAAAAAAAATTGGGGCTTTCCATTGAAAAAATTGAGTTATGGGTATTTAAAGTTTCCCAAACGTAATCCTAAATTTTGGAGATTTCTTAATTACACTGACCGGCAAAATTATCGCATCACATGAGAAAAGTGATTTTTTTATTTAAATAATGCCTAAAAAAATAATAAATGAATCAAAAATTAATTACTACTAATTAACGTTAAGTTAAACTAAAATTATGACTTAAACTTCAACAATTAAACTACAACTTAATCATTGTCAAAAGAAACACAAAAGCGAATTTCGTGCAGATCAGTTCTTAATAACTAGTATTGCCTCCTCGAGCCTGGAAAGAAGCTCAGTTTTTTATTGTTGTCTCTCGGAAATTAGCGATAATTTTGATAATTTGAAATTTAATCAGTAAACAAATAAATATACATCAATTGCTTTTGAAAAATCCATAGTCGACTGAGTTACTTGATAATGCTACTATTCTATATCATCAATTTTAGTACTATTTTTAGAACCATTTAGCCATTTTGAATCTTAAAATTCAAGTGATGCGATAATTATGCCGGTCATTGTATTTTTCCAATTGTGACTACAAAAGATTTAATATTTCCCTTTTTAAATAATTAAAAATAATAGAGTTATTAATTTTTGAAACGGAAGGTACGGATTCAAAAAATTTCAAAAAAGTTAGGTACAGGGAAGGCAAATAAAAACTCTCTCAAAATCACTTAAGTAATCCAAAAACCGGAAGCGCTGTCATCTTAAAAATATTTTCATTGAGCAAGACTTAACCTATCATGGCCATAAACAAAATTTTAGATCAATATTATTGTTAGAACTCCTAATAAAATATTGATTTAAGCAAATTGAATAAAATTGTACGAAACGTCTTAAAACCTAAATACACAAATCGTTCACCACGACTTTGTTACAATCTATGTAAAAATTATTTTGACATTTCTTTTTTCTCATTGTGACATTTTATCTTCTGAAGACACACGTTTTAAATTTCAGGGCTTAGTTGATAGTCAGACTTTTTGATAACATTCTATGTCATAAGTCTAAAAGCTCAAGTTATATGCTCAAGTCTCGAGGTCAGATAAAGCTTCAGGGTGTAACTAAAGTTTTTCCATTATTTTTATTTTCCATTTTAATTTTACTAATTTTCCTTATCAAAAATTAGCATAATAGTTTCTTATTAATTGCAATTCAGGTAGTACTGGTCAAGATCCTGAAAATTGCGAGTCAGATTTTCCCTCAATTGTGCGATGTATGGCCGATGGGCGCAACCACGTCCCTTGCTGTATCCAAGAGAGAGTCCCAGACATATGTCAGGACGTGTGTCGTGGCGAATACACTGCAATCACTGATAATATCAAAACTCATTTTTCATGTTCTGCTTACACTGAACAAACCCTAGCTTGCATCGTTGAAGGAATAGGTATTTTTCAAATCTTACTAATTATTCATTAATAAAGAAAAATTTCATAGAACTCCTCCCTAGTCCCCCACAAAATCTAGAAGTGGAAGCCTTGACTGAAAAATCGTTGAAAGTGTCGTGGACTCCCCCCGCGTCAAACCCTGAAAGCGTCACAAATTTCGTCATAAACGTCACATCTCTCCGCTCTTTTGACGACCATTTAATCGAAACGAGTTCCACTCCCAAACCCTTGATGAGCACCCACACGGTCCAAGTGAAGGTTCCCCCATCTGAAAACACCACAACTTTGAACAATTTGGACCCATTTACAATGTACGAAGTGACTGTAACAGCGGTCAACATCCATGGTTCGAGTCTCCCCAGCTACAACGTCCGTTCCCTTACACTAACTCCCGGCAAAATGAAGACCACCAAAGTGGGGGAAGCCCCCCAACTCCCAGATATCAAAACTTGCTGTGCAAAAAAAGGAATCGCCCATAAAACTTGCATTAACAAACTCTGCGATCCGGCTTTGGCCGACACCGCCGAAATCACCGATTTGATGATTTGCGCCCCATGGGCTACTGACACTTTCAGTTGTTTGACCAATGGGCTTGACCACACTCCTTGTTGCAAAGCAAGGGGATTGCCCGAGTTGTGTCAACAGTTGTGCACAGGGAATGTCTCCAGTATCGATTTCAACTATTTCAAGTGTTTGAGGTATATGGGGGAGTACACGAATTGTCTCCTTCAAGGTTATGGGGTTTTGCCCAGTGCCCCCACTCAAGTTCATATCACTAACATTGAGACGGAGTTTGCGATTTTGCATTGGTCCACGCCCAAAACTCTTGGGGATACTGTGCAACACTACAATGTGCATTATAGGAGTGTTGCCACCTATGATAATGAGTATAAAGCGATTCCGAAAGTTCACAGTCCGTTTATTTTGGAGGATTTGGAGAGTGATACTGATTATGAGGTTTATGTGGAAGCTGTCAACACGCATGGGGTTGGGATGCCGAGCAGCAGGATCACTTTCCGAACAGAAAGCAAGGTAAAAATTGCAATTTTCGCAAAATTTCACTAAATGAAACGAAATCAGTCAAAATTTTTTGCTGACGTTTTCTTTTAAGAGAAAAATGGTGGATGCGCCGGGGAATAAATATTTTTTATGTGGCGAAATTATACAAAAAAACTTGAACCAGAATAAAGTATTTTAACTTTGACTATTACTTCAAAACTATTGCGAATTTTGCAGTTTTCTGGACGCTGTTTGACTTTACATAAATAAATTTTAAAATATAATTTTTGGAGTACAGTTTTGACACAATTTACAAAAATTAAAACAACTGGGACCGTTTGTGGGTCCCAAAATTCCACAAATTTAGACTTTATTACTCTTAAAGGCTTCTAATAAAATTAAAACTTATTAAAATACAAAATTTGATGTTGTGATATTTTGCGATAAAAAAGCTCTCATGCTTCGTGCTTTGCTCTTATAGTAGTCATCTTATGTCACTACGCCACCAAGCTCCCGGCCTGTATTTCAGCATTAGTTTAATATACAGGGTGATTCAGCTTATATGACCCATTAGACCCCTATTGGAAGACAATCTATAATACAAAAAGCAATTATTCCTTGATTCATATTCAAAATTTGAAAATTTCACGATACGAAAAATATCGTTCTTTGATTCTCGATATTTTGAAAATTTTATTTTGAATAAAGGAATAAGTGCATAATGTATTATGTGTTGTCTGCCAAGAGGGGTCAGGTGGGTCATTTAAGCTGAATCACCCTGTATATATTAAAAAAAGATTTTTTGTGTTTTTACAATGTTTTATGCACTTTTAAATCTCCCTGAAGTGCATTTTGATCAATTTTTAAATTTTCAATTTTTAGATTTTTGACAAAATTTTAGTCGGTTTTTGGTACCCGTAACGGTCTATTGTTAATAACTTTGGAATTATTGGTGCTAGCTTTTATTGTTTGGCACCGTTAAAAAGTATATTTAATTTTCTGTCATATAAAAAAAAGATCTTTATCTTACGATAGGTAACTAGTTATCGAGAAAATTACTGATAAACTTAAAAATATCTAAAATATAAATTTGACTATAACTTCTAAAATATTAAATTTTGTAGTTTTCTCGACACTATTGACTTCTCAAAACGTTTTACGTACGTGAAGATTATAACATTAATCATTTTAAATATAGTCTAGCTATAATCTACAAAATAAAAATGGTTAAAATTTTTAAAAATGATTTTTTTGAACTTGTCTTAAATCGGATTAAAATTAAGGCAGATCCGTTGAAAATAGTTCAAATTGCTTAATTTTGACCTAAAATTAAAACTTAAGCAATGATTTCTATGTTAAAATCAAATAAACTGGATTGTAAATAGCTCCACTTGCTTCACTTTTTCAGAAAATTTATTTTGTTAAAATTGATTGAGGTTGGTTTCTGGCTAAAAATTGAGCCAAATTGATTATAAATAGCTCAAATTGCTTTATTTTGGCAGCAAACTGTTATTAAAGCACTTATTTTGTTGAAATACACTGATTCAGGTTGCTTTCTGGCTTGAAATTGAGCCAAATCAATTGTAAATAGCACAAATTGCTTTATTTTGGGCTAAAATTAAAATTTAAGCATTTCATTTTATAAAATACATACATTCATTTAGAATGATTTCTGTAGTAAAATCGAGAAAAATTGGCTTAAAAACAGCTCAAATTTCTTTATTTCAGGCTAAAATTGGAATTAAAGCAATTGTTTTAATAAAAAAACATTAGTTTTGAATTAATTCTGTATTAAAATCGAACAAAATTGGATTGAAAATAGCTCAAATTGCTTTATTTTGGAAAAAAAACTTCTATTCAAGCCAGTAATTGGTTGAAATTTTTTGATTCAGGTTGATTCCAAACTTAAAATGGGGCCAAATCGAATAAAAATAGCACAAATTGCTTCATTTTGACCTAAAAAGAAATTTTAAGTAATTTATAAAATACTTTGATTTAGAATGATTTCTGTGTTAAAATCGAGCAAAATAGAATTGGAAATAGCTTAAATTGCTTTATTTTGGCAGAAAACTGTTAGATAACATTTAATTTGTTGAAATACTTTGATTTAGGTTGATTTCTGACCTAAAATCGTGCTTTTTTTGATTGAAAATTAGTATTGAAGTAAATATTAATTTATGTAAATAACAACATTAATTTAGGTTGGTTTCTGGTTTAAAATTGAATTAAATCGATTGATAGATTTGTTTGCGAGATATCGATTTGAATTTAATATCATTTGATAGATTTTTCTATTACGAGAGTGTTGAACTTTTTGCGATAGCTTTAATAGTTTCGCCGTAATTGGGCTTTAAAAAGTCAAAATTGACAAAATTGTGAAACTCTGAATACGTTTTTCTCAGAAACTATCGGTCTTAGAGCAAAAATCAAAAAAATACGAGAATAAATATTAGAATTTGCAAAATTTTTAGATTTTTGTCAAAATTTTAATCAATTTTCGGTACCCGGGGCCAATAATTTTGGAATTATTTGAGGTAGAATCATTGTTATAAAAATTATTTATTTAAAACAATGTGCAAGTCAATTTGTGTGTGAGAATTGTCAAAAGTTTTTTTGAAGCAACAATTTCTCTTAGATTGTCGAGGAAAAAATTGAAGAAGCTGCGGCCTACAACGTCACTGCATGTTGTGTGGAAGCTGACCTTAGCTCCGTATGTCTCCCTCTGTGTTCCTACAACGCCAACATGAGTGATATAAAACTCCTAGCGGGAGTTTGCGGTGCCGAATTCCATAAACTCCTCCGTTGTGGAGCTGGAGGTCGTAACCATGGTGGTTGTTGTAGTCGACGAGGAGTTCCACCAGCTTGTCTCTCCCTCTGTTCGGGAGTCATCGTTGATTCATTACTAGTCACTGCTACTACTTGTGTGCCATATATTGGAAATATAGCTCAATGTTTCGAAGAAGGAACCGGACTCCTCCCTGGCCCCATTTCGGAACTCCATGCAACGGTGGTCGATGAACATTCGGTGTTGTTGGAGTGGGAACCACCAGCTGAAGGGGTCAATGTCACCGACTATGTGGTGCATTACCAGAAAGTTGATAACACTTCCATGCATGAAACGCTCCTGAAACTAGATAATGTAATTTTTTTAATTCTCGTTGGCAATTTTTAAAGTGAAAAATTTTTCGTCCATCTATCGCATGTCGCACTATGGCTCACAACAGCTGACCGTGTAGCATTTATATTCTTGCTCATTCGTGCAAGTTTTGATCCGAAAAAAGTTTCACTTGCATCGTGATTTCTTTAAACCATAGCAGTTTTTTTAATTATTTTTTTTAGCAAGTCAATGTGACTGGGACTACGACGACTCTCACGGGCTTGGAGCCCGAGTCCATGTACCACATTTTCGTGGTTTCAAGGAACCAACATGGTACCTCTCTCCCATCGGCGATTATTGTGATCAAACTTGTTAAATCAGGTATTAAATAGTAAAATTTGTCAAAATAGTTAATAATTTTTGAAATAGATGGTCAATGGGTGAAAGCTGTAACTTCCCCTCCACATTCCCTCGCCGTGGCCGCCCATAGCGCCACTTGGGTCACAATTTCATGGCAACCCCCCGAGTTTAGCCACCCTTCTGAGCAAATCACGTACCGAATTTACCATAAATCAACCGCTGAAGAAAATTTCCACGTCATAAATGTCACACTTACCTCTCATATGATCACAAATCTAAATCCCAACATGCAGTATATTATTTACGTTACGGCCATTACGGAAAAAGGGGCGAGTATGCCGTCGGAAACTTTGATTGCGTGGACGGATCCAGCATACCCCGCTTTTGTCGAAGTAAATAGAGTGTTTTGTGACTAGTATCGAGTTGTAAAGTTTCTTTATAGCCCCCGACCGTACATCCGATCAATTTGGTGATTGAAGGAAGTAGTATGACGATTTTGTGCATTGCGATGGGGACTCCGATGCCCACAATTTCGCTTTATATTTCTGGAAGGTTGGTGAGGCAAGAAACGACGAGACATATGGTCACGGTGATTCATAATGTGACGAGGGATATGGACCAAATCTCGTGCTATGCGGATAATGGGTATGGGACGCCGATGCAGGCCTCCAGGAAAATTACAATCAGTCGTAAGCAATTTTCCAATGTAGTACACAAACTATCACCGTAAAGTTGTCAAGTCAGTGATAAAAAAACTGTTTCTTTACAGTCTAGGAGCGAGTAAATTGTTTTTGGTACTTATGTTTCAAGTCATCAAAAATCGGTAGATTGTTCAGTTATTAATAAAGCTGAAAGCCTGAGTAAAAAAAAAACCGTGGGGACAAATTAAATGAACTGTACACTTGGTTGCAAAAAAAATCGGAAAATGTAAAAGCATAAAAATGTCAGATTTTTATATTTATCCAAAGTTTGAACATGGCTTAATTCTAAAAGGTTAAGTTAGAACTGGCAGTTAATCTTTAGTACTTACTCACTACTCATTGGCTTTTCACGTAAGTACTCAACTAATGGATTATCTTGATTTGCATTTGATGCTCTCGGCATTGCATGCGACAGATGACAAATTGACAAGGGCAAAACCTGTTTTATTTTAAAGAAAATTCAATTTTCCGTTTTTTGCAACTAACTGTATACAGGGTGCGCCAGAACTCACGCCCCAGAGAAAATTTTCAAATAAGGAACGATACCAGAAACATGAAAAAAATGTTAAAAAAATTCTATCTGTCAAAAAATTTTGACATTTATTTTTTGACATTTGACATTTTTTTATATCTATTTAAGGATACTGATGATCTTGTATATGTTTTTTTTACAATTATTTAGTAAAGGGACAAAAATTTTGCCAATAAAAGCCACAAATAACATTAATTAGAGTTGCAATTTTGGATACAGCTTCCTTGTTTCCTCTTTGAATAGCCTATAGCAAAAAACTTGGAAAATTATTTTTCCAACAGAAATAAATAGAGTCAAAGTAAAAACTTTAAACCCTCATAACTTCGCAATTTTTATAGATTAAATTTTTTTAACATTTTTTCCATGTTCCTGGTATCTTACCTTATATGGCATTTTTCTCTGGGGCGCGAGTTCTGGCGCACCTGTATGTTGTGATGACATTTCTAACCTTGTCGATAGTTGGAAAGTGTCATATTACAGACCGTCTATTACCTACCTACTTCTATTACCGCTCTGACAAGTCAAATTTTCTGAACATTTTTTTATTTTTTTTTAAATAAAAATGCGGTTGTGAATAAAATTATATATAAACCCCAGCAAAAAAATTTAAGTTTGAAAAGTTTCTATTCGGTCTTTAGAAATGAAACACTTTCTACCTCGGTATGTTATATTTTCGTTATTTTTTTTTTATATTTACTAAGGTACGTTTTTCAAAATCCTAATTGAATTTATACATACATACAAGGCGTTAAAAAGAAATTGTAAAATATTTTAGGAGATAAAGCAACAGTTTCGGATTATTCGTTTTTTGAAACATTTATTTGCAATCTGTTCATACAAAAAAGAGAAGTTTCAAGTAAAAATTTTACAAATTATTACGTTTGATATCTCTGAAACTTTTACTTTGCGGACAGGTTTATTAAGACTTTTTTGTCTATACTATATCTTTACTATTTTACAATCTTTTCTGACGTCCTGTATACAAATTTCATCGTAATGTTTTAAGTAAAGTAAGCATTTTTAACACTGAAAAAATTAAACTGCAAAACTTATGATCAAAAGCCAAAAAACTATAATGTTTTTCGTATTTAACCAAAAAACAATTCTTCCAAAATATATCTTAAAAGTAATAATGTTAATATTGTTAATTAAAGGTGTGATAAGAAAACAATTTGGTTTCAACTACTCAATGTTAAATTAATTGTTTCAACAAACAAAAAATAATATATTTTTAAACCTCAAATAAAGTCATGTACATTTGAAATATTAGGTAAATTTTCTAGTTAAAATTATGAATATCTTTGACATTAAAAAAATTAAAATTCTTATCACAAGAAAAAAACATGTAATAAAATATCATACATTCGACATTTCAAAAATGAACAAAAAAAATTTATACTTAAAAAAATAACTACCGTAAACGTCATAAAAGTGACCAAATATTACAGTAAAAGTTTTTTAGTTACTAAATATTGTGTTATAAAAACAACATTCAACTTTTAAAATTTAAATAATACCAATAAGATTATCATTATTTTGACCAAGCTCGGTATAGTAGTAGACAATGACTTTCTTAATTTAACATTTCATAGTGACAATGAAAAGATAATGAGTGAAATTCAACTAAATTAAATAAAACTTCTTTCTTTTCAGAGATAATCCGATGAAATTGCAAAAAATTTAAAAAAAGTTCTTTTCGGAAAAAAACAAAAGGAACTGTTCAAAGTTATTTTCACTATTTTCAATAGGTACACATTTTAAATTGCCGCATTTATTGCTTTTTACAAGCACAATCAACCTAAACCAAAATAACTCTGAACAGTCCCTTTAAAGTTTTGAATTTTTATCGATTTTTTTTGCAAAGAACTGTTTTTATTTTTTTGAAATATAAGTGTATCATAACTCGAACCCCAGAAAAAAAATTCCAAGTAAGATAAAATACCAAGAACATGGAAAAAAAATTAAAAAAATTCAATTTTTCAAAAAATTTTGAACGTTATTTTTTGACTTTTGACGTTTTTTATGTCTATTTAATGATACTGATGATCTTGTATATGTTTTTCTTAATAATTATTTAGTAAAGATACCATTAAAAGCTACAAATAACATTAAACACAGCTACAATTTAGGATACAGCTTCCTTATGTTTACCTTCTAATAGCCTGTAGCAAAAAAACATGGAAAATTATTTTTCCAACAAAAATAAATAAAGTCAAAGTGCAAAATTTCAACTCTCATAACTTTTTTTTAACTTTTTTTAACAGCCTATATATCGGATTAGGAGATACCTAATAAAGAAAAAAAGTTTAATTTGCATTATACTCATTATGTATATTGATCGTAAATTTTTTCATTGTCACACCGAATGTTAAATTAAAAAAATCCATGTCTACCATTATATCAAGCTTGGTCAAAATAATGATAATCTTGGTATTATTTTAAATTTAAAAGTGGAAAACTGTTTTTACGGCGCAATATCTCAGTAACTAAGTTAACACTCTCCCTGTATAGTATTAAACTTACCATACAGCCCGTACGCTCCCCACTGGTAAAAATAAAAATAAAATAATTCCCGGAAAATCAGCGCTTTCAATGGCTCACAAAGTCTGTAAAATTTTATGAAAACAACTTACGGAATTTAATTTTAATTACGAAACTTTACCACCCTGTATATCTGTAACGAAGCTTTAGAGGACTATTGTTTGTTTAAGAAATTGGCGTTATTTTTTTGATGTAAAATATGCGATTGCAATATTAAAAAAACACCCTATAAAAAATAACGTTTTAAAATAGTCTCTGCTTTCAATACGTCAAAAAATTTAATTAAACGCTTGCAATAATGCAATAACCGATCTAAAATTAAATTTTTAAATCGTAAATAATGACAAAGCGTTGCATTTTTCATTGATTTTGATTCATCACAGCTTGCACCTGAAATCAAACATGAATTTTTTTCAAATAATGAATTATTGACATCATTGTAATTCCTGTTCCAGACCCGCCCCACATCCAGGCCAGTGGCATAACAATGGCAGCTTTGGGCGATTCGGTGACTTTGGAGTGCAAAGTGGACGCCCAACCCGAACCAAAGATGATTTTCTGGAAGAACCATCAAGAACGAACTCCGGTGATCCAAGGCGGAAAATACGACATAACCACAATGCCGATGAAAGACGAGGAAGACAAATACGTGATGCACTTGACGATCAAACAAATCACAGATATGGACGTTGGCGATTATTTTTGCCACGCCGAAAACGCATTTGGGAGTGCAACCCAAGCCGTTTCGGTCCGAATTCGCAACGTTGCAGCGACGCATAACGTAACGCAATGTTGCATCGAACAAAACGTAACGTCATCATGTATGGACGCGTGTTCTTTTTACCTAGATATGGACGCAGTGATTGATAAACCTGAATGTATCAACGATTTTGATAAGTTGATGAAGTGTGCGGCCGATGGCTCCGATCATAGGAGTTGCTGCACGCAATGGGGGGTTCCCCGACGCTGTCTCGACTGGTGCCGAGGCGAGCCGATCCTCAACAGCAAAATCTGCGTCCTCTCTTACACCAAACAAATCATGAGTTGTTTCCACGAAGGCCGCGAGAAACTACCAGGACCGCCTCAAAACGTGCGCGTTGAGAACATCGACTCGCATTCGGTTAACATCGTGTGGGATCCCCCGATTAAAAATCCACACACTGTGGAGTTGTACAGAGTGTTCTGGCGATTGGCCGATAGTCAAGGCAAAGGTGGGCAAAAGGGCGATACCTCAGAAACGCATTTGAAAATCAATGATTTGAAAGAGGGTGCCACCTATGAGTGTGTTATCAAAGCTGGAAATAGCAAAGGAACGTCGACTTTAACCGAACCGATCAGGTTTACAGTTGGGGAAAAATATATCACTTCAGCAGCCAGTCACAGTGACGATGGGAGTCACGTGGGCGTTGCTGTTGCTGTTGTTTTGGCACTTGTTGTAGTGGCGGCCATTGTTGTTGCCGCTGTTTGGTTCATGAGGAGTAAGAAGATGCTGATTAAAAATTCGAACGGAGTGGCCTTCGAAAATCCCAGCTATTTAAGGGAGGTCAACATGGACCACATACAGGTAAAACATTGTTGACAATGAACAAGTAAAATTTTGCATACAACGTGTTTTGTAAAAATACAAAAAACATCAGGAACATGAAAGAAATGTTAAAAAATTTTATCTAAAATTATGTAATCTTACGGTAGAAAACCATATTTCAAGCGTTTTTACGACTTAAGATTAATTGACTATAGTTTTACGATTGTATTACCGTTCCCCTTAAAAAATTCAAAAAATTGGCTTCTTGCCACAAATTTAGCCTGTATTAATTTTTCATAAAAATAAAAATTTTTTGGTCAGAATCGGATATAGTGCTTATGCTTAATATCTCAAAAACTATGCATCATAAAGTATTTTAACTTGTTGCATCGTGTTCTGCACGTTATTAGAAAACCATATTTCAAGCGTTTTCACGACTTAAAGTAAATTGACTATTTTTACGATTTTAAAAAAAGTCAAAAAATTCGTAATTTTTTAAACTTGGCCCAATAACGTTTGTAAAAGACGTAAAAGACAATGTAAAAAACGTTATATGGAAGAATTTTAAGGTTTAAATTTTTCAAAATTTTTGTTGAGATTTTGGTCGATTTTTGGCACCCGGAACGGCCTATTGCCAATAACTCCGGACTTATTGGTGATAACCTCTTATGTTTTATACTGTTGGAAAGAAAATTTTATTTTCTATCATATACATAAAAGATTAGTGTTCTACGATAAACAATTATTTAGAAAATTTCTGATAAAGTAAAAAATTTCAAAAATATAAATTCGACTATAACTTCAAAACTATTACGAATTGGCAGTTTTCTTCACGCCAATCGATTCCCCGGAGCATTTTACATTAGTTTACGTCAAAATATTATATCATTAAAATACAGCTTTGCCGCAATTTACAAAATAAAAAAAGTAAAAATTTGTTAAGGAAGGGCCTTAAAAAGTAGTGTTTTTGAACACGTTTCAGGGTCAATTTAAACCGATTTATTTAAGCGTTTTTACGACTTAAAGTAAATCGACTATTTTTACGATTTTACTACCCCTCACCTTCAAAACTCAAAAAATTCGTAATTTTTTAAACTTGGCCCAATAACGTTTTATGTATGCACTTTTTTGAGTCTTTACGACCTCTAGAAATGTAAAAAAAGTTATATGGAAGATTTTTAAGGTTGAAATTTTTTTTGATTTCTATCGAGGTTTTGGTCGATTTTTGGCACCTGGAGCGGTGCCAATAACTCTGGACTTATTGGCGATAACGTCTTATATTTGGTACCGTTGGAAAGAAAATTTAATTTTCTATTACATGCAAAAAAGATTGTTCTACAATAAATAGTTATCGCCAATAATAAAATCAAAAAAAAAATAAATAAAAAAATATAAATTAAAATATTGCAAGCTTTAACAAAATAAATTTATATTTTTTATCTATGTATGTTTTATTTATTTTACCCTTAATAAAAAAAATATTTTATCAGTATTTATTTTATGGAATTCTAATTTTTTTATTTAATAATCTGTTTGGTGGCATATACTATTTTTGAACGATTACTCCAATGACGCGCAAACGTGATTGGTGCAAAATTACGAAGCAACCTTCTTACTTTATAAATCTTGCTGTAAAGTAAAATCGTTTTCCTAAGACCTACTAAAACTTTTAAGTTAAATGCGGTATTGTTAAGGGTAAACCAGAGCGTAAACAAATCACCCTGAAACAGGTCAGTTTTTAACAGGGCCGGATTACTTACTTTCTTTTTGTCCAAAATACTTGAAATGTTTTAATAGTTTTTGATGTAGTTGTTATTAAAGTCAAGTATTTTAAGAAATTTGAAAAATCCAAGTGGTTATTAACAAGCTATTATTAAATAAAGCTGATTTTTTTTTAATAATAACTTAGTAAAACTCCACCACTACTTTAGTTTTAAATACGGCTCTATTTTATTCTAGTGGGTGCAGCAACACTTGCAATTTATGGAGGGTTACAAATTTATAATGTGTCATAAAATTTTTAGTAGGTCTTAGGAAAACGATTTTACTATATTAGTACACTGTTTGTAGGTCCCGCAGGGGCAGAGCGAGGGCGCCACCGTGTCCAACGGCGCCGCCCATGGCATTTCAGTGTCGTCCGCTTCTGGGGTTCAAGGGTGGAAAAACGAGGCCCTCCACGTACCTGCCGCGACCGAAGTCAACCCAACTCTTTACGAAGAACTGAAATTGGGCCAGGATGGTGCCGGTTTCAAGCGACTTAAACCCTAGTATGAGGCTAGAGTGGGAGATGAGTCCAGATTTTAGGAAAAATCGGTCACGTTATTGTGATATATGTAGTAATAAAAAAAATATAGTATTCGTACCACCGGACAGGTATTTTACCTAAATACCTCATATAGTGTAATATTTTTCTCTCCTAGGTGATAAGGTTGTAAAAATTGTGATTGAGATATATTTGGGAGGGGGGGAGATTAGATTATTGTTAGTGAAAATGATAAAAAAAGATGTAAAATAGAAAAATTTTGTAAATGCACTTGTAGATTGTAAATTAGTAAAAACAGTCCAAATATTTGTATTATTGATAGGTTAATCTAATGACTGAATGTTTTATGACGTAGTAAAAAACGTTCATGATCACGTGTGTTAATTTGAGTGATATTTTGACATTACAGATTTTTGGTTTTTGATCAAGGAACTTGGTCTTATTGAAAAAATATCAATACCAACACACGAATAATCAACATAGTAATTGTTAACTAAAATAATATAGCTTCTAGTCTTATGTAATATAATTGTTATGTAATAGAAATAAAGCCATGTTTCTTGATTGTAGGTGATTTATAATGAACGATGAATGAGGTTTTAGAAATTTAAAAAATACACGTATTGTGCCTTTCTCACATGTCTTGTAAGGAAATCTAATTTCAAAATAATATGTAGAGAGTTTTAGATATTTCTTTGTACATAATTTTTAAAAATTTGTAAAATAATACGATGTCACCAATAGCAAAGGCAATAGAAATAAAATACCAAAACTTGAAAGCTGTTCTAAATTTATTTCTCTCCACAACCTTCTTTCACTCAAACAATGTACAACAACGAATTTCATCTCACTGCCTAATTTTGACATCAAATAAAACGAAAAAATTGTTCAGAATTGGAAAAAAGCTACAGCTGAATCAACAGACAAATATCGCAAACCAAAATTTTCTACAGTTTAAATTTAATAAGAATGAGAAGTTTCGGGGGGTTATCAAAAAACTTGAGTCACCTTGTATACTACTCGGGCTGTCACTCTACTAATTATCTTGTGTTTAGATAAAAAAAATAAAATTAAGTGTTTTTTATTTATTATAAAAACAAGAGTTTCAAAATTTATGTGGGAAAATTGAACGTAGTAAGTGTTTATTAATTTAACTAGTGCAATTAGTAGTGCAAAATGTCGAATGCTGATAATCTGCAATCTTCCTCTGCAGAAGTTGCTGAATATTGGTAAATGTCAATAATATCATAGTAAAAGCAAAAGTGCAAAAATTGAATTTTTACTTCAAAGGTTAAAAGTTTTACTTGTCACATTGAGTCACAATTAGTCATAAAAGTTGTCACTTTTGTGACAATTGCGGATTAAATACCAGAACTTGTAAATTGTTCTATATTTGAAGGGGTGAGTGGATAAAGGTGTTATGTAACATTTTTTAAAAAACTGGTATTTTTTTTTAAACAATTTTTATCGCAATATTTTTTATTGAAAAAGACTTTTAAGTGTTGGTTTCTATTAGGAATGAAATTACCAAATGCTAAAGGCGTTATGTACAACTTGGATTGTTGAATAAACAATGGATAAGGGTGTTAAAATATGTTTAAATAAATAAATAAATAAATAAATAAATAAATAAATAAATAAATAAATAAATAAATAAATAAATAAATAAATAAATAAATAAATAAATAATAATAAATAAATGTTAAAAAAAGGCACAAATAACTTAATTCAACTACTTTTCGACGTATTTTTGACAAAATTTTGCGAAATAATTTAGTTTTTTATTGAAAAATGTTTTAAAACGCTCGTAAAGGGCATAAATTATGTCGTTTTTTATTTAGTCTGGTATATGTATTGATTTTTTGGTATGTTTTTTAGCAAGAATTAAAGAAAAAACTTGGTTTTAGACTTAATAACGCAACTAAATGTTTAAAAAAAGCAAAAATAACACCATTTTGAAATTAATTATGTGATTTTTCGGCTTATTTTTAACGAAGTTTTGTGCTTTTGATTGAAAAATCTGCTAAAACGTTTGGAAAAGCAACCAGATAATTTTTCGTCTCAAAAACAAGCTTAAACTCTCCAAAGAAGCAAAAATAATTTTAGTTTCGTAATAGTTTATTCATCTTTTACCTCATTTTCGACGAAACTTTTCAAAATAATCGCGATTCTGACTAAAAAACGTCCTAAAACGGAAAAATAGTTTGTTTGAACAAATTTTTTAGCACAATCTAAAAAAGTAAAAATAACACCATTTTTGAGTAAATTTAGCGATTTGTGACGAAATGATTTTGTAAATTTTTAATTGAAAAACGTGCTAAAGCGTCCAAAAAATCATAAAAAAGATCATTTTTAACCCAATTTGGTAATTTTTCAATTTGTTTTAACCGATTCTTTGAATCTTACAAAAAAAACGTGATGTAAATAAGCAAAATTCTTAATTTTTTTGATGACTTTTCAGTGTATTTTTGTCTAAAGTTTTCGAGATAATTCCGTCTCTTATTGAGAAATATGGTGTTAATGTAAAAAACCGTTTTCAAAAAGTCAATGAACTAGCTTCAAAATTACACCTAGTAAACAAGAAAAAATGTTTTAAATGAAAATGTTAATTTTCAAAACGGCATAAAACTTATTGAGACACCTGGTATATACTACTCACAAAATTAACCACTCGGGCTGTCACTCTCATGTACTAAACATTTTGCTTTTAGATAAAAAACAAAATTACAAAATAAAGTGTTTTTTATTTAGTTCAAAGAATTTTATATTTGACTATTTTTCTCACAAAATTTAAGCCAATCAAATTTTTCAAGTTGCTGAGATTTAACCAATCAATAATTTGTTTATGTGCTAAATTACTGCAAATTTTGAAACATTTAATTGACTTATTTTTTTTTAATTGCTCATAATGAAAATATTGTTTTTGCAAATTTTGTTCGGAAAATAGTTGCAAAATATACCCCTCGTGCACGCCAAATTGATTCTAATTGTGCATTTTGCAAAATTATCGACAATTTGGCATGCACTCGGGATATTACTAGTAAAAATATCAAAATTACTCAATTTTACTATTATTAGGAGTATTATTTTAAATTTAAATCCATTCTTTACCCTTAATTTTGTATCAATTTGTAATAAAATTGAACCAAATTTAACTTTTAAACACTTATCTGCTTTAAAAAACTTCTTTAAAAGATGTGTAAACTGCAAAAAAGGAAACCTAGTGATTTTTTGAAAGTAAATTTGCGTATCATTATTGGAAAAAGCACTGTCTTCAACTTCTGATAAGACAGTCTGTAATTCTAATATAAAGTTTGCAACACTAGATAAAAAAAAATGAAAGATTCAAAATTTGAGGTTTCTCCTATCTCCATATTTATCTAATTTGAAAAAAAAAATTAAAAATTTAGTTTTTTAAAGTATCTAACAAAAAACTGACAACTGTGAAGAATACAGGGTGAATACAGAGAATACAATTTTTCAATGGTTAGTGTGTTTTTTAATTTTTAATTTTTTTTTTGAGTTGTGGATATTCAAAAAAGTGGCTTTTATGGGCTGAGTAATCACCCCTATTATAAAAATTCGGTCGTGTTCCGCCCCTGTGACCACCGTTCAACAGGTGTCCGTCGATTTCCGGCTCTAGTCGAGGAAACTCGAACACGCATATTCTCCTAGACTAGAGGTATAGTATAGTCGGTGCATTTTCTTTCATCCAGTGATGCTTCGTCCGTTTGACATTTTACAAGTCGGCAACTTAACGGTGAGCAACAACGTGCGTGTTTTGGCACCGGAGTATAGTGTTTTTTTTCTCCTTCGAAAATCTGTGTTGGGGGAATCACACTTCATACATAATTTTGCCACGAACCCTGGGTATGTCACAAAATTTTCGAAAAAGTTGTCCACGAAAAAATCAAATTTTTAGTGTTTCTTCTTCCCGCAATTACGAGATGATTTCATAATGCGAGATGCCTCACACGATCTTACGGCCCCATCATCCTGTCAATGGCTATGCCCATCATTACACCCAGAATGGACATGTCAAAAATAATGGGCATGGTGGTGAGTACCCACACTTTTGTTGTACGGAAGTCGTGACCCACTTTATGGTCGGTGCATTTCTTTTTGATTTTTCTCCTCTTCTCATGACGGTTAATTATCAACAATAGCGCGAGCGACGATAATGAAGGTCTTGAGTAATGAGCGACGATGTATGATTGCGTCTGAACAGGGCTTAATAAGCCTCAAAATTATTGGTATTTTTTAAACAATGTTGCAATTAGGTACAGGCAAGTTCATGAATGATGTGCCCGTGACCGCCAATTCAATTAGCGCATAGTTTCGAATGCTGTAACTCCGAGACCAAACACTAATTCCAAAATATTTGAAAAAAAAAACACTTGAATTTTTTTACAATTCTAAAAAATCAGAAAGAGGTCGTTTGGAGGGATAACTTGAGTCACCCGGTACCTAAACTTCTAGATTTCCAAAACTAAAAAACACGGCTTGAAAAAGTCAAAAGCAGTTTTTTGAAAAAATGCATTTTTGTATTTTGTATCTTCTATAATTCAGACAAAAAACCAAATTTGTTTGAAAAACAGTAATTCCTACCTTCAATTCTGACATAGTTACTCGTATTATTACTGAATGTAATAAATATGTTTACAAAGTGTTTATGGTGTTGTGTAATCACTTTAAACAACTACGTTACAATAATAATAAATAACGCACACAAACACCTAGATTCTAATCGATGCGTCACAAATAATAATAAAAAGCGATTTTTAGATGAAATCTGCAATAAATTTGCTCCCTCGGGTTTAAATCTCGAGTCAAGGGTATCAAAATCACGACTAAAATAAATAAAATCTGGCAGGTGTATGTGGAAAAAGAGTTGAAAAATCAGTTATAATAAATATTTATTATGGATGTTAGAAATAGACAAGGTTAGTATAACGGCAACTTTGCAGTGAAGAGATCTTCCGGTAATTTAAATGCTGCATATGTAAACAAAATGATAATAAAATTGCAAATTTAATGAACTTATAGTGAAGGCCATTTATTAGTAATAAAAAATACACCCTTCAAAATCTGTGCAGAAATTATTTACTTTCTGCATAACTTAGATTTTTTTCGAGTACTCGAAATTTTCTTATAGCACTATTACACGCTGTTAACTTACCTAATATTTATTATTTGTTTCTTTTTAACGTAATTAAATATTTATGTTTGAAACTTAATTACGTAATTTCAATCTAACACAATTTTATTATGCAATAGGTATACAGTGTGTTCCAAAAAACGTTTTGACGTTCTTTAAATGCATAGCAAAAGATATTCAAATGACGAAAATGTATTGTAATTTATTAAGTCTACGATTTGTCATAGACTGAAAAATTATTTCTGTACTTCCTGTAACTAGTTTTTGGTTGTTTTATTGATTTCTTTCTAGTTTTAGTATAATTTTTTCATAATTATATTACATGTGCAATACACATAATTTTTACTAAAATCCAGCAAGAAAAAGTTTAAAACTAACAATTTTTCTTGATATTCCAGTCTCGCCATTAAATTTAGCAGCATGTTTTTTTGTTTTGATGGGGGAGTTAAAATTATTTACTTCCCTGAGAGATTACATATAATTTTATTGTAATTTTGACAGATGAGAAAGGTAAAATCTAATTGGTCACTTTCTTTTCTGAAATTAGGGTGGAAAAAATTACTTTCTGTTAGGGTCATAGAAAATAGTTATTTGTATTGTAAGAGAGGAAAGTGTATCTTT